GACTGGGCCGGGACCGAGACCCACCCTGGGGCCTCGCGTCCCTCACCCTCCCTCCTCTTCGCAGGTGGCAGCGGCCCTTCTGCTCCCTCCTCGTCTGCCTCGGCCTCAACTTCCTCCTGCTCACCCTCGGTCAAGGTGTGTGGCGGGGAGGGGACGACAGACCCGGTTCTCCCCTGGAAACCTCCCGGGGCTGACGCTGTCCCGCCTCTTCCAGCCGCCTGGTACTCGGTACTTGCCCTGTTGGTCGTGGTGCCGGCCCTGCTGGGCTACCTGCAGGAAACGTGCCGGGCCCGGCCCTCGGAAGCGGAGCTGGTGCGCAGGAGGTACCACAGCGTCCGCAGGGAGGACCTGCGCAAGGTGCAGCTCTCGCGGCAGGAGGCCATCACCCAGGTCAAGAGCTTGTGAGTCTGGAGCCCTCCTGGCTTGTGGGACTCCTGGGTTCTCTGCGACCGGGATGCTTCTCGGTGGGTGCAGAGAGCCTGGGTTCATGCCAGCCTGGCCACTGTAAAGCACATGAATGGAGGAGGAGCCAGGGTGTCTGTATTTGGGGCCTTTTTGTGACTGTGAGGTCTCATTCACAGCCTGATCCAGCTGGAGGGGTTCCTGAGTGCAGTGTGCTGCAGCTGTGAGGCAGTGTACCGTGTACTGTACTGGGAGAACCCCACTGTCTCCTCCCGGTGAGTAGTATCAGGTCAGGCACCTCCGCAGGGAGAGCCAGCTCTGTGGAGTTGTTTGATGTGTTTGGTACTTGGAGAGACCAGCTGGAGGACCAGATGAAGGAAAGGGTCTTGTGTTGTGGTGTGGTTTACTCTGCCTTGACTGCAGTGATTGTTGCTGCTTCCCAGGTTTTATGGGGCACTGCTGGGTTCTGTCTGCATCCTTTACCTGCTACCCCTCTGCTGGGTCCTGGCCATCCTCAACAGCACCCTATTCCTGGGCAACACCCAATTCTACCAAGGTAAGAGATCTCCCTGAAAGTGGTCTTAATGGGATGTCTTGGGGAAAGGCCCTCTGAAGCCAGGGACCCTGCCCTGGACCCTCTCCCAGCACCCTCATGTAAGCCCAGTGTCCTGTGTTTGGCTCTGTCATAGGACCTGAACCCACGCAGAGGCAACACAGGGATGGTGCTCAGCAGCCCAGGTTTGGGTGGTGGGTTCCTGGGGCTCAGCTGTGAGAGGCCGGAGTTTCTACTGATATGTGTCCTGGCCTGGGTGCTGTTTCCTGCTTTCCTGTGCACGGTGGCAAACTGGAGCCTGGCAATGGAGCCTGCGCATGGGCGTTGCCACCCCTCTCGCTCCGTGACCCTGCTCCCCTGCTCTGCAGCACTTCATACACTCTTGGTGCCTGTGGCAGTTTACAACACAGGCTTGAAAACATGCTGTCAGGGGAGAAGGAGAGCTGGTGGCACTCCCTGTTCTGTGACATGTGCTGGAGGAGAGTTGGTTGAGATACATACAGCTGAGCTGTGACTAAGGGCCCTGCTGCTCCCTTCCTGAGCTGGGACAGGTGGGGAGTGGGGGTGTCTCTTGCTGCCCTGACTCTGATGTGTGAGCAAAGGAGGGCTGAGGGTACCTGATGGGTGAAGGTTGTTTGAAGAGGGGGCCTGGGAGAAGGGAAGTGCCACCTCATTCCAGCTGCATTCCCCTCTTACCAGTGATAATAGAGCTCAAGGCCTCAATCGAGCAGTGTATGGGCACCAAACACCTTGAGAGCACTCCAGAGCCTGCTGAGCCCCTGCCAGCTGCTGTACCCCCGGATCGTACCCCAACACCCACAAGCACAGAGGTGAGATAGGGGCAGGGCTGGCAATTGTGGGGTGGGAGCTGCAGAATCAGCCCTTTGGTTTGACTGTGCCTGTGTCCTTCTACCCACAAACTCCTTCCAGCTGCCAGCGTTGCTGGAAGCCTGTGAGTCCCTCCTGGGTTACCAGGGGGCTGCTCTTCTGCACCCGTGGCTTGGCTCTGTCCTTTTGCTGCATGTAAGGATGCAGCCTGAGGGAGCAGGGGCTTATTTTGCCTTCTGGGACTCGCATCTTCTCATGGGGTTGCCAAGGCCCTGGTCCTTTGTCCTGGAATCTGCTGCAGAAGTGTGTACCCACCTTCGGACTGGGTTGGGGGTGCAGCAGGACTGTACTATGAATCTCTTGCAGGACCTTACCCCTGGCAGCGTGGAGGAGGCAGAGGAGGCAGAGCCTGATGAAGAGTTCAAAGATGCAATTGAGGTTTGAGGCTGGTGGGGAGTGGGCTGTGCCTGCAAGGCAGCTGACGTGGGAAGGGGTGAGGGCCTTGGTGGGAAAGCTGGATGCTCAGGGAGGGTGGCTGTGGGGCTGGGTGCTTCTGACTCCGTCTGTACTGCCTCTCCTCTCTCTCCCATGCTGCGGGAGAAGGAGAACCAGCTGCTGGTCATGGTGAGTACTGCCATGCCAAGGTGTGCAAGAGGGGCACCTCCTTCCAGCTGGAGATGGCAGTCTTTGGTGGCTTGTGGCGATGCCAGCTGGAGCGTCCTGCTTGCTGGGTGCCCATCTGTGGGGTTGGGGATGTGCCCATCTGGGGATGCCCCATCTGGGGCATCCTGCAGCCCTCGAGCGTGCCCCCAGCCACCCCTCCGTGCTCTGTTCCCTGCAGGAGGATGACGAGAGCTCTCAGTGCTCGGCAGATTTTGACCTCAGCCTCCCGGACAACGGTTTTATGAGTAAAAACGAGGTGATCCGCAGCAAGGTGTCACGCCTGACCGAGCGCTTGCGTAAGCGCTACCCCAGCAACAACTTTGGTAAGGCTGGGAGCAGTTGCTGTCTGGGGAGCTCAGCAGAGTTGGGGCCTGTGCTGCTCCCAGTGGTCACCACTGACCTGGGAGTGGACAAAGCAGTGTGGTACCTGCTAGGGCTGTGCTGACACCTGCAATGACCACCCCTCTTCATGGGGAGGATGTTCCCAGCCCTCCTAGGAAGGGCAAGGATGGGAAGGTGCAGCAATGTCGTTTCTGAGCTGAGTCTTTACAACAGCTGTGGGTGTTCATGTACTTCTCGTGGTTCCCGGCAGCAGGGTCCTGCCTGACCTCTGCTCTCTTTCTTTCAGGGAGCTGCACAGGCTGTGCAGCCACCTTCTCTGTGCTCAAGAAGAGGGTGAGTCTTCAGCTTCTACCCCAGCGTGCTGCCTGCACCTGGGGCAGAGGTGTTGCATGTCGGGCTCACCCTGGTTCTCTCCAGCAGCTCGGGTGGCTGGTCTCGGTCACAGCCTGGCAGCAGATGACCTCAGCCAAGTGCTGGGTGTTGCCTCATGCCTAATGGTGCCAGGAATCCCTTGTGTCATGGAGCCTTTTGTCTCTTTGCACCTTTTGGAAGCTGCCAAATGTGGTGTGCTGGTGTAGAAGGCACCTGGTTTAGCCCATTTCTTGTGGTGTGAGAGCTTTCTGGTGAAGCAAAGCGTGGGTCTGCTTGTGGGAACTGAAGCAAAGGCCACCCTTGTTGCCTTATCTGAGCCCCTGTGTGCGATGTTTGGCACACAGTCCCCTGGGCAGTTCTGGGAAGGATGTATCTCTTGTCCCCTCCAGACTTGCACTGCTGTCTGCCTGCTGCCTCCCCTTCTCCAGCCCTGTGCCCCCCTCCCCCTACTCCTGGGTTAGTCTGATACGTGTCGGGGACTCTCTGGACTGTTCATCCCTCCAGGGCTACAGCATAGGAAGTGATAGAGTGTCCATAAACCTTCTGGAGCCTGTTAGGGCTCAGGGCTTGCACCCACCCCCTTCAGCAGGGAATGCTGTTAGCAGTGGTCTGGGACGGGAGGGCAGGGAGCAGGCCCAGAGTAGTTTCTCATCTCTGTTTCTCTCCACAGCGGAGCTGCAGTAACTGTGGGAACAGCTTCTGCTCCAGGTGTTGTTCCTTCAAAGTCCCCAAGGCTGTGATGGGAGCCACGGGTGAGTGGAAAGGTGGAGGGGGGGGCAGAGCCCCTGCCCCCACCTTCACTGGTGAGGGGGTAGATGGGACCTGCCCAGCGCAGCCTCGGCGCAGAGCGGCGATGGGTTTGTAGCTCTCTGTGGCCGGGGTCCCTAGCCCGTGGTGGGGAAGGGGAGCATCTCTGACACCTGCTTTCCGTTCCAGCCCCGGAAGCTCAGAGGGAGACGGTGTTCGTGTGCGCTCTGTGCAACCAGGTGCTCATCAAGTGACCGAACCAGGCCCAGCCAGCTCCTGGGTCCAGCACTGCCCGACACCGGGGACAGCGGGCACCCTTGCAGCCGGGATCCCGGGCCGCTTGGTTCCCAGTGTGGCAGTGCACTGCCAGAGGACGCTTGTGCTCGCTGCTCCTCCTGCCAGCACCAGGCTGGGGGCCGGCGGCCCTCCTTACCACACAGTGTCTGCCGTACAAGCTGGGTCCCCGCAGCAGAGCGTTGCCCCACAGCTGTGTCCCCATCCCTGCAGCTGCTCCAGGCCCTGGGCACTCCCTGGCACTCCCTGCATCCTGCCACATACTTGCCCAGCTCCTGAGGCCTGGCTCGGTGATGGAGGAGCCATCCTTCCCACTTGTGGTCCTTCCTCCACCTCCTGTGTGGGCAGAACAACCTCAGGGGCTCTGTCCCTACCTTTCCCAGCACTGTGCTAGGTGATTATTTTTGGGGTCAAGTCAGGGCTCTACCTGCATTCCTAGGAGATGTGGTCCTTGGTCCTGGCTCAGCTGAGAGCCTGCTAGTCACTCCTTTTCCTTGACCTCACCGCCTGCAGGTTTAGTCTTTTCCCTCTGTATCTGGCTGTCACGCAGAGGAGGCAAGAGGGTGAGATTGGGCTGGGTTGCAGCGGCAGCGTGGGAAGAGGCACGACTTGGTGCTGCTCTGTGCACTTAGTGACTGCTGCTTTCTACTACGGATTAATATATAAGTGTATATAGAGAATGACCAATAAATCTCTTGTCTCACCCCAGTGAAAGCTGTCCCAGTCCCAGGTCACGCCAGCACCTCTGTGGCCTTGGCCCTGCTGTCCTGCCAGCAGTCATAGAGAAATGGTGTCTGCCACCAGCTCCCCCTGCTTAATGGGGTTTCCACCTCCTGCCCTGCTGTGGCCTTGCTTGCCCCCTGTTCAGGGCTGCTTGCAGCTGCTCCTCCTTGGCTGTGCCAGGGCTGGATCCTGCTGGGCTGGATCCAGGCAGGAGCTCGGCTCTGGCAGGAGCTGCTGGGCTTCCTCTGCCTCCTGGGGCTGCTCCCTGCCCTGCCCAGGCGGTGGTCCCTGCAGCTGCCTGTGCACACAAGGGTGACCTTTCCCTGGTGAACAGCAAAGCTCCCAGCTATCCCAGGAATGTGACCCTGGCTGCTGTGCAGCTGGGAACAGCCCTGGCCTGTGTCCTTGCCAGCCAGCTGCAGCTTCCCCCGATTTGGGGGGGCTGGTTCTCTTGGGCTGGCATTGCCCACCTCCCCACCAGGCTGACACCCACCATCCCGAGAAGGTGCTGGGGGCCCCGATCTCGCTGCTGACTGTCCACCCCACTGACGTGGGAGCTCGCGTGGGGCAGCCCTGGGGGCAGTCTGAGCCTTCCTCTGGCTCATAAACCCTTTCCTCAAGCTGTGCCCTATGGAAATTTGGGGGAAAGCTGGGTGGGGCTGTATCTGCAGCGGGGCGAGTGCTGGTCTGGGGGCTTGGACGGCTGATGTTGGAGGCAAATGAAGTTACTTGTTCTTGGAGCGCGAAGGCCGCGCGTGTTGGAACGCTCCCTGGAAAGATGCTAATGACGCAGACACAGAGGGCTACAGACAAACTTGGGCGGTGGGAGATGGGGTTTGTTTGCGCACTTCCAGTTTCCCAGTAAAATGCCGTAACTGGCGATGTTTATCCGTGCTCGGGAGCCTCGCTCTGGACAGCCCTTCTAACGATATTTGGGTGTTTTCCCCAGGTTTTTTTCCACATGGGCAGGGTGAAGGCGGTAACTGCCTGTCCTGGTGTGTGGCTGTGGGGCAGGGGCACGTCCCCCTGACCGTGCCCTTTGGGGCTCTGGGGGTGGGCAGAGGGAGCAGGGATCACCCTGGTGCAGGGCAGGTGCCCAGAGGCCTCGCTGGCTGGGAGGAGGGTGGGCACAGGCATCCCACGGCCTCAATTCCCCTCTTGTCCCGGGAGTCTCCCCTGCGGCGGGGGCAGCTCCGGGGGGGAGCCGCCGTGCGG